CAGGAATTTGCTGGAAATGCAAATTCTTGGGTTCCACCCCAGTCCTATACAGTCAGAAACTGGGGGTGGGACCCAGCCATCTGTGTCCCAACAAGCTCTCTAAGTGATGATTGTACATGCTAAAATTTGAGACCAAGTTTCTAAAGTAATATTTTTAAAGGACAAAGCCAATCATGTCACTTCCCTGCTTAAAACTCCTTTAATAAATCCTTACCATAAAAAGGAGAAAGTCCAAGCTCTTAGGAAGATGTGTAATGTCCTTTCTATTCTGTTCTGTTCTGTTCTTTTTTTTTTTTTTTCAGGTCTTCTCTCTCCATTTCCTCCCTCCCACCCAGTGTTTTAGTCATCTGAACATTCCGAAATAGTCTAAATGTACCCTGTTTTCTGTGCCTTTTCCTAGTGCACCTCTTCCCACACACAATTTATCCACCTGGAGGAGTTCTATTCATCTTTCCAGATCCAGCTCAAATGTCCCCTTTTGTAGAATAATTTCTGAGGACTAATTTCAATAATTTACTTACAGCCTATTCCAGTTCTTCCAGGCCCACCCACGTAATTTTTCTACTTTAACATTTTTAGACATCCAGCTCTTAAGATAAAATGAAGTCCTGTGTACCGTAGGATAGAAAGAGGTAGGAATAGAAATGGCATTGCTTACTCCATGTCCCATGCTCCCACCCCTGGTTCAAGAGTTAAAGATTGGAGGGTGGGGGTAAGGGGGAGAGATCAACCAAAGGACTTGTATGTATGCATCTAAGCATAACCAATGGATGCTGACACCAGGGGGGTGAAGGCATGAACGGGAGGGGGGTGGGGGGGAGGGGTAATTGGGGGATAAAGACACATATGTAATACCTCAATCAATAAAGAAAGAAAAAAAAGAGTTAAAGGTTGCCATCTGTCTTTTGGAATAGCTGTGGCTCTTGCTCTTTGAGGATACTGCGGCTTCTACCAGATGTTGGCTCAACTATTTAACAATGAACCCACCGCTACATTTACAGGATCCGAGGCAAGGGTACAAATGGAGGCCCACATACCACATGTCTAAATATTTAAAAGTTATAAATAAAACAAAAACTTCAATAGGCTATGTTCTATCATTGTGTTACCTTAAAAAAAACACAGAATTTCTTAGTGACAAATCAATAGTATATGTAAAGCAATAATTTTCAGATGTCTGAAAGCTGGAAAAATATCAAAGACAATAAATGTAATATTTATATCTGTTTATATCTGTGTGTTCTGTTGATGAAATGTCAATGTTTATATGAGTATAAAATAAACATAATTCATCAGTTCTTAAATATGTATTCCATAAATTTATAATTATTGTATTCATTTTATGAAAATTATTGTTGTTATAATCAAAATTTTCATTTACTTTATATATTGTTGACAGTGATGCTCCAAAGAATTTAAAATAAATTTCAATTTTATTTAAATGGAAGAAAATGCAAATTTATTTCATCAAAAATTAAATTAATATAAAAACTCAAATAAAATTATTTTTTTAAAGTTCCTTTTTCTTAAATATTCAAAGTTACCCATAAAGTTGAAAACGAGCATGTATATTGTAAATACCAAATCTTTATTTCAGAATACTTCATTAAACCTGTTATTTTTCTCATTTAATTTTAAGTTTCATTTAACATTGCTTGACACCAGCTGGCCAGTATAAAAAATTGATAGCACAGGTCATGCACGCTTTCACTGGTCCTACATATTTATAAATGTAAAAGCAATACAAATTGTTTAGCAATGCAACCTCAGCCACCCTGCGAAATAACTGTGATGATTTGTATGTCCTTTCAAACCCAACAATAAAATATGAAAAGAAGCAAGAAAATTGATGCTCAGCTCTACTCGGGAAAATAAGTCTTGGTTATGTGAGGATTTAGTGAATTGATTCCAAGAGAAAGAATCCTAAAAGTTTATTTATCATTTCTCTTACACTGCTCAAATGCCCCTCTCTATACCCGCATTCTCCAATGCAAAATGTCTCCAACTGCGCTCCCAGCAGTTCAACCTGAACATTTTCTAGGCATGCGAGCTCTCTTGCTTCTATGATGTAGAAGTGACGAGGAGAACATTTTCCTGGGTCATGTTAATCATGAGAGTGGATATTTAGGGTTACAATGGCACTGAGCCAGTTCTGATGTCCAGATACCAAGTACAAAGACATTTATGCTTGTGTATCTGTGATAGGGGGGCCCTCCAACATGTGGGGCCCACGACAGAGCCTCCTTTGCCTTAGGTCTAAGCATAGTACAACTTAGGTATTTGATGTCCTCATCCTAGACAGAACCAGAGGACTAGGGTCGAATTTCAAGGTGCTATCTTAAGGCAACAACCCTGCTCTATCTAGGAGTTAGAGCTGTTATACATTTTCAATGTCTTAACCAACTTCAGTCCAGCAGAGCAAAAAGAGTTTTTATCTTCTACTAACTACCCCACCCCTCCCCCTAGCCCCATCCCCATCCATTATCACATCAAAAGGAGTCTCATTTTTGGCTTAGCTGTTGTCTGAGTGGAGGTGGAAAGAAAGGCCTCATTATATTCCAAGAGATTTATATTTAATGGTTCATGCTTAATACATTTAATAAAATATATTCATGTTTAATAAAATAGCATACTTTTGTGATTGAGTTCTTTGGTTCATTTATTATTTGATTCACTATGTTGAAACCAAAACATAGTCACTGAGCATCATCATGAGATGACTTTGGCATCTCTGTGGCCATAGATCTGAAGGGACTGTTAAAGAGAAAATAGAAATTTATAGGGGAATGTTTCCACACACAGGCATTGTGAGGGTTAATTTTATATATCATCTTGGATAGGCTGCAGTGCCCAGCTGTTTGGTCAAACAATAGTCTAGATTAGGGGTGGGGAACCTATTTTCTGCCAAGGGCCATTTGGATATTTATAAGATCATTCCAGAGCCATACAAAATTATCAACTTAAAAATTAGCCTGCTATATTTGGTCAAACACTTAATTAACGCACCCCTAAGGCCTTGGCAGGGCCAGACCACATGATTTGTGGGTGGGCCTTATACTGCCAATGGGCCAAACGTTCCTCACCCCAGGTCTAGATGTTGCTGTGAAGGTATTTGTTTTTTTGGTGTTTTTTTTTTTTTTGATGTGATTAACATTTACAATCAATTGACTTTAAGTAATAGGCCTTCTCACATTAGTTGGAGGCCTTATGAGCAAAAATTAAGTCACCTGAAGAAGATGGAATTCTGCCCTAAGATTGTAAGATAGGAATCCTAATGAAGTTTCTACCTTGCCGGCCTGTCCTACAAATTTCAAATTCAAGTCTGCAACACCAACTCCTGTCTGAGTTCTAACCACTCTCCCTATAGATTTAGAACTTGCCAACCCTCACAACCACATAAGCTAATTTCTTTGGGAGAATCCGACTGCCACAAGTAGATATTTTCATCATCTATTTTTATCCCAATCCCCACAGTTAGGTAATCGCCAAGACAATGTAAGCATACATGTGCGCTGCATACTTCTCTCTTTACCTCCCCATAGTATATGGTACAGATGCCATCTTTAGAATTTATGGCATAAAATTCTAATAATAGATTTAGAAGTCTGCCTCTTATTCTACACTGTGAATTATGTATGTGCAGAGGCTGTGTTATTCATTATTTCAGTTATTCATTATTATATTTTCCAAGGCTAGAAACTGTCACTTAATAAATGCTCAATAAATGCCGGCCACATGTTAGATGAGCAAAATTAGCACCAAACTATATCAGTTGGCATGTGGCAGAGGATACAGGAGTAAGGAGGGATGGTGGTAGAGCAAGGAGGGAAAAAAAGAAAATAGTGGGGAAGGGAGGGAAGAGGGAAGGAGGGAGAAAGGGAGGGAGGGAAGGAGGGAGGGAGGGAATGAAACATTGATCCATTGCTTCCCATATGTGTGCCCTGACTGGGAATGGAACCCACAACCTTTTGGAAAGCTAAGACTCCACATGAGATAGTATTCAGCCAGCTTTCCCAAGCTCCCAGCACAGTCTTAATCACCTCTCTCACAGCGACTTTGATAGCTCTGGCTAAGGAACTTGATACCTGCAAGCAATTAACTTTAATAAGCCAGCAGGTGTTTTCCTTAAAAGAATGCTGACGAGCCAATTTGCTGACAGCAGCTCTAGATTCTCTGGTTACTCAGCCATGGCTTCTACCTTTGCCCTTATGAACTCAGTCTGTGGTTGTGAGTAATGAATGAAAAGGTAGCCAGAGTGTCGTTCTTTAAACAGTGAGGCTTGTAATCAGCTTTAAGGCATGACTGTGCATTACAAATAGTACCAAAAAGTCTTTTCAAGTTACAAATAAAAGCAAAAGCCAACAAGTGGCAATAGCTAACATTGTCACAGCACTTCATACTTTCTGTAATATTTGCTAAATAGAAGGATATGAACGTGCTTTGACCTGCATTGGCCTCTCTCTCTCTCTCTCTCTCTCTCTCTCTCCTTTCTTTTTCTGTACCTATCATTCCATTACCTAAAGCAGAATCCTGCAACGGTTCTAAACTCCTCTTTCTCCCATATCAATAATTCCTAAATGTTGTAATTGCATTATTGTCTTTTTTTTTTTTTACTTATGTCTTTTACTAGTAAATGCAGTGGAAGCCTAATGTGTCTCCCTGGTGTCAGTCTCAGGCATCACCCATCCCACATCACTGCTGGTGTCCTCCTTCCAAAATGTAAATATGATTTCATTTTCATGTTCCCCACTGCTAATGGAAAATTTGGAGTCAAATCTTCCTCAAGAGTTAAGTTTGTAGAGGTTATAATCACATTTTACTGAAAAAAACAGTGGATATGCTTTAATTATCCAACAAATACGGTATGTTGCCCATTATATATGAAACCCTGTGTAGTAACACATGTGTTTGTGTATGTAGTTACTTAAAGTCGATAAGAAAGAGAATGTAAACTTGACCTCTCTTGTGAAGCCACAGCTGTGCAGACTTCAGTGCTCGCCATGGCCAATGAAAAGCCCAAGGAAGGAGTCAAAACTGAGTACAACTATCATATACATTCGAAGGTGGTGGGGCAGGATGGTCCTGGGATGCAGTTTAAGAGTAAGAGGCGCACACCACTTAGTGAAGGAATGAAAGCCTACTGTGAACGACTCAGTTTGCCAACGAGGCAGATCAGATTCCAATTTGACAGGCAGCTAATCAATGAAACACACACCTCACAGTTGGACATAGAGGATGAAGATACAACTGGTGTGTTCCAGCAGCAGACAGGAGGACCTGCCACTTCACTCCAGAACTCTGTGCCTCCAGACCAAGACCTTCTCAGTCAGAAAACTGCCATGTTGTTGCACCACACCCTGACCACTACAGTATAGTTTTTCTCTGTTCTTTTATCTTCCCCTTCCCCATTCCTTTATTGTACATAAAGAAACTAATGTGTGTACATATGCATTTGCATTTTAAACTAAATGGCCAGTGCTATGTTCTGATGGACATCATGTGGAGATGGGGTGGAGAAAAATACTGGTTCTATAAAAATACCCGCTTTGTCCATTAGTGGCATACTCATTCAGCTCTCATCTTACATTCCAATAAGTTATTTTGCTCTCATTGGTGTTTTTGTTTGTTTGTGTGTTTTTTAATCCTCACCTGAGGATACTTTTCCATTGATTTTTAGAGAGAGTGGGAGAGAGAGGGACAGACAGAGAGAAATATCAATGTGAGAGAAACACATTGATTGGTTGCCTCCCGCACATGCCCTGACCATGGCCCACACTGGGGAGGAGCCTACAACCAAGGTACATGTCTATGACGGAATCAAACCCGGGACCCTTCAGTCTGCAGGCCAAGGCTCTATCCACTGAGCCAAACCAGCTAGGGCTGCTCTCACTGTTTGATAAAGACAGAACAACATAAAAATCCTCGCTACCTTGTTTGATTGGAGAATTTTAATGTTTTTTTTTTCATTTATCATTGTAAAACCAAGGACAATTTTATAACATTTTTGTACATAGCTGTACATGTAAAGCAATCTATCCTTAAGTAGAGATAAATTACTCTACAAGAAATGAATCCTAGATAGTTTTCCCTTCAAGTCAAATGTCCCACTGTTTAAATAAACATCTTGTTTGAAATGAAAAAAAAAATAAAAAGTAAACTTCATGAGGGAAGAGATTTTCATTTTGTTCACTGATGTACTTCAAGGGTCTGAAATAGGGCTTGTCCCATAGCAAGCAGTCAATAAATAGTTGTTAAATAAATAGAAAATAACCATGTTAAATAATACCATTCAAATAATTCTCTCTCTAACACATGGAACACTGAAATAACAAAAATTAGTCTGTGTATGATACTACATCAGTAAATTTGCATTTCTTTCTATACACTACATATAGTGGTCCATGATCCATGCCACCAGCCCTATTGGAAGCTTCAAAGTACCAAATCATTCAGTGTTCTCCGGATACACTGTGTTCTCACCTACAACTATTTACTTGCACCTTAACCTCTCCAGCTAATTTGGATGTCTTGTACACTTGAGGAATTTACTTTTCCTCCAATTTAAGTACTTCTAAACATTTTAAATGAACTGCATTTTTCATTGTTTTCTTGCAGGTCTGCCTTTTTGGTCAGATTCTAAGATCCTTCCGTGTAAAATCTATGCCTCTCTACTAGTTGTTTCTATAGGACAGTGCCTGGGATATTGATAGGCATATATGGAACATTTGACTTGCATGAAGTGTATATCCGTCTATTGATCTCTATATCTGTTGTGCTTAGCATGAACCTTTCTTGATGCTGGCTGTTCCTTCCAGCTCCATTACAGCCAGATATGTTACCTTAGACAAGTCACGTAAACGTTCTGAACTTGGGTTATCATCTGATCATGCCTGTTCTGCTCTTCAGAAGCCAAAGATACTCAAATTTTTTGAACATATTAATGAGCAAAACATTCTGTACCAGAGTCAGACTGCAGTCAGCACTCTTTGGTCCAGTGTTCAGGCCACCGTGCAGCAGCCTCAGCACCCAGGACATCCTTGCCACCACTTCAGAAAAGCTTCTCTGCCCGGAAATCGCAGAGACCAGGAGCCAGCACTCGGTGATCCTGGAGACTATCTGCCGCAGCAGTGCCCGGTGATGCTCTGATGTGGTTTCTGGGCAACAGACTGTGGTGAGGGGAGGTCAGGTGGCCATATTTTGAGACTTTTTTCTGTGCAAATGTATACCTCCCAGGGGGGTTTCCTGACATGACAGAGACTTTGCTGTAGGAGCGGAGAAATATGTCCTTTGGCCTTGAGCACTAGTGTAATTAGATCTTAATCTTTAGATGTCCGCATTTTAACTCACCCCCCAGGTAGGATTTTAGAAAGCTCAGGCATTTAGAAAGCTTTCTCACAATGAAGGCCAAAGGAGCAGGTGAGAGCAGAAGGGTAGAGGAGAAAAGAATAAAGGTCCCTGGTGGTAAAGTAGTTGTAACATACATACATACATACGTGCATGTATGCATATGTACGAACAAAAATAAAAGCTCTTTGAAGAACAGCCCTTGGCAAGCATTAATTAAATGTTCACTCTGAGTTAAGGGGTGTCATCTTGATAGCAAAAGTATTGGAAAGATACTTCTCTTTCCTTTGCTTGCCCTTACTTAAAAAAAAAGAGGGGGAGAGCCCTAGCTGGTTTTGCACAGTGGATAGAGTGTTGGCCCTCAGACTGAAGGGTCCTGGCTTCAATTTCTGTCAAGGGCATGTATTCAGTTGCAGGCTCCATCCCAGGCCCTGGTCGGATGCATGCGGGAGGCAACCAATCAATGTGTCTCTCTCATATCAATGTTTCTCTCTCTCTCTGTCTCTCCCCATCTCTTCCACTCTCTTTAAAACGCAATGGGAAAGATATACTTGGGTGACGGTTAACAAAACAAACAAACAAAAAGAGGGGGAGGAAAAAAGGGGGAAATAGAGCTCCTCACTATTAGGATTTTTTGGCAATGGAGGTAAGTCGAGGGGCTATTCTGAAAGTGAGACAGTAAGGATAGTGATCTCTTGTGCCCCCTCCCTCCATTCCTCCTGTCAGTCAACCACCATACGTGGTTGGCTTCCGCAGCCAAACTGCAGATTTGGAAGAACAAGGACAGACCATCCTCTCACCTGCAGCAAGATGACAGGGCTGCTGCTGTGCAGGCTGGGCTGACCTCCAGGGCACACTGTGCAGCAGGCTGCCTTTGCCAGGATGGGCATTCGGACATGGCCATCCTCGCCCCCAGCTGACCGCTGACCAAGGGAAGCTGAAAGAAGGCAGGAACAGCACATTTCCTGGAAGGTGACTTAGGCACTTGGGTTCTGGGTTAGGCAGCTTGATTTACAAAAAGTGATATATCTTTAGAGCAATGGTTTTGAAGGTGTGCACTTGCATAATCCAGAGGTTATGCAAGATGACCCATAAGGTTATGGAAGAAAATTAAACATATTTATATCTTCTTCCCATTAAAAAAAAAAAAGCTTTTTTCTGTGTATGTTTTAAGATGTATATGACTTTGTAGAATTATATGAGTTATAAATAAAAACACCTATATTAGGGAATTATTGTAAATAATATTTTTATAGGCATGAATAATTTTAAAAGTTTGGAAACCACTGTGATAAAGAAGGATCATGATTCCTTTTCACATGCTCTGCTGAGAAAGTTGAGATACCTGTTCATATTCAGGGAGGATCTCGAGTTTCCTCCACCGGGATGTCTGGTAAGAATGATAAATATCTTGGATTGCTAGTGTAGAAATAAGTAAATAAAGCCAGAAGAGAACAAGGCAGGCTGCACACATCTGTGTTCGCCCTTTCCAGAGACTCTCCATCCACATGTGTGGCTCTAAAAGCTCCGACAGCAATGGCGAATCCCTGAGGGCACTTCACTAGCTCTATCTTGTGTGAAGCCAGTGGTTCTCAACATTCCGAATGCTGCAACCCTTTAATACAGTTCCTCATGTTGTGGTGACCCCCAATTTCATTGTTACAAATTGAACATAATTAAAGCATAGTGATTAATCACAAAAACAATATGTAATTATATATGTGTTTTCCAATGGTCTTAGGCGACCCCTGTAAAAGGGTCGTTCAACCCCCAAAGGGGTCGCGACACACAGGTTGAGAACCGCTGTGTTAAGCCTTTACTCATAAGCACAATTGTGAACTTGGAAGGAATTTTTCAAGTGTCAGGAGAGCAATAAGGGTCATAAGGGATGGTGATGAGACCATGAAAACAGAAGTGAAGGCAACAAGAGGCCTCTTCATCACTGTTGTTAATAATGGCAACCAGCCCTAACCGGTTTGACTCAGTGGATAGAGCGTCAGCCTGGGGACTGAAGGGTCCCTGGTTCGATTCCGGTCAAGGGCATGTACCTTGGTTGCGGGCACATCCCCAGTTGGGGGTGTGCAGGAGGCAGCTGATCAATGTTTCTCTCTCATGGATGTTTCTAACTCTCTATCCCTCTCCCCTCCTCTCTGTAAAAAAAATCAATAAAATATATTTTTAAAAAAATAATGGCAACCAAGGAAATAATTACTACTTATTGAATCCCTAGTAAGTTATGGCACTTTGCTAGCCACTTTTTCAGCAATGCCATCCATTTTTAGAGTGACACTCACATTTTACAAATAAAATAAAAATTTCCAAGACAATGAATATTGTAACAGGTACACTTTACCCCAAAGCCACTATTCTCCAGATGATATCATTCTGTCTCAGAACCAAGGAAATAACTACTACTTATTGAATCCCTAGTAAGTTCTGGCACTTTGCTAGCCACTTTTTCAGCAATGCCATCCATTTTTAGAGTGACACTCACATTTTACAAATAAAATAAAAATTTCCAAGACAATGAATATTGTAACAGGTACACTTTACCCCAAAGCCACTATTCTCCAGATGATATCATTCTGTCTCAGGACCATGGTCCTGAGTGACATTAGGGAACAGTGAGAGCAGACACATGTTATAGTACTTCAGGGCATTATAATCTGACTAGGTTATGTTTATCAGCTATTTATTTTTTCTTTTCATTAAAATCTTAAACTGTGGCCAATGTCTTTGTCAACAGGAAATTGGTGCAGGCTTCCTAGGCCATCAAGTAGAAAGACTAGATTTCCCCTCAATTGTGAGTATCTATATATATATAAGCATAATATGCAAATGACAAAACCATGGAACAACCGGTCGGCTATGATACACACTGACCACCAGGGGGCAGACGTTCAATATAGGAGCTGCCCCCAGCCTGCAGGCCCCCATAGCACGATCATGGCCTGACAACCAACCTCTTGGTCCCTCTGCCCAGCGGCAAGCTCTGATTGCCCAATGGGGAACCAGGAACTGGGGCTGGGTAGTGGCAGATGCAGGCTATGCCAGGGCCCCAATTGCCCCACCGGTCACCTCTCACACAGAGGGTGACCGATGGTGGGGGTGGAGGGGCCTGTGAGCAGGCAGGAATGGCCAACCTCTCGGTCCCTCCCCCTCGCTGACAGGCTCCGATTGCCCAATGGGGAACAGGGAACCAGGGGTGGATGGTGGCAGACATGGGCGGCACAGGGCCTCAATCACCCCACTGGTTACCCCACACACAGAGGGCGACCCAGGGCGTGCCCGTTGCCCCCAGAGCTGTCAAAGAACCACTTCCCACACAGGACGGAGCCATCGGTGAGGTTCAACCAGAGGTTTTCCCGCAGGTCACATCTGGCACACTTCCAACCACTGGAAAGTCATTGGAGAACAGTTAGTACAGCTGGAATGCAAGGCATAATTAGAAAATCAACAGTGCCTCAAGAAGAAACAAGCCTGGCTGGTGTGACTCAGTGGTTGGCGTCGACCTATGCACCAGGAGGTCACGCGTTCAATTCCCGGTCAGGGCACATGCCTGGGTTGCAGGCTTGATTCCCCAGTGGGAACATGTGGGAGACAGCTGATCAATGATTCTCGTTCATCATTGATGTTTCTATCTCTCTCTCCCTCTCCCTTCCTCTCTGGAATCAATAAAAATATATTTTTTAAAAAGAAGGAAGGAGTGCCTCAAGCTGGGGCCATAGTAAACAATCGGTGGAATAATCTGAGTCACTCCCAGAGCAGCAGGACCCCACAGTACCTTGCCTGCCACCCAGATGGGGACCAGCTCCTCCCTCTCCTCCGAGATGGCTCTTGGACTTTAGAAAACTAACACAGAACCCGAGGACAGAAGGGGAGGTCACTTCCTTAAAATTCCCATGTGAGGGACAGAGGAGCTTGAATACGTTTAAAGCATTAAGGATTCCATGTATATAAACACCTAAATTTCAAAAGCATTAACTACACCTAAGAAAAATAGTTTAAACAAAACCCTACTACATGGCAAATTAAATTAAGTAGAAGGAAAATCACCCTAACGCAGTGGTTCTCAACGTTGGCTGCTCATTATAATCACCTGGGAATCTTTTTAAAATCCTGATTTCTGGGCCTCATTCTCCGGAAATTCTGTTTCTTTGTTATGGGGTGGGGCCACAACATTAGGGCCTAACAGAAGGTTAAATATCGGGTATGTGCCAGGGACTTACCGAAACTCTATCATTGAATTCTAATGAACACCCTCAGCATCAGTATTACCATCCCCACTGTGAACAGGAGAAACTGAGGTATCATGCCTGTGCTAAGACTACACAGAATGGGACTGCAGTGCAGTTAGGGTTCAACAAGACTGGACACATTCCTAATCTGCTCTTTCCTTCTAGCACCTGCCTCTGGAAACACAGCAGCACCTAGGAGATGCTCAAGTGGCCCAGAGAGCATTCCAGACAAATATGTGACAACCAAAGACTACTTTAAGTTGGGTTCCCCAAGAAGCAGATTCTGAGACAAAAAAATGAATGCAAATGACAAAACCATGGAACAACCGGTCGGCTATGATGCGCACTGACCACCAGGGGGCAGACGTTCAATATAGGAGCTGCCCCCAGCCCGCAGGCCCCCATCGCATGATCATGGCCTGACAACCAACCTCTTGGTCCCTCCGCCCAGCGGCAAGCTCTGATTGCCCGATGGGGAACCAGGAACTGGGGCTGGGTAGTGGCAGATGCGGGCGATGCCAGGGCCCCAATTGCCCCACCAGTCACCTCTCACACAGAGGGTGA